AATTTTTTTGTATGTCTATAGACTTTCCAATTTTTATAAACACTGACATCCATACACGACAATATCAGCAAATAAGTGCGATAACTATGTAGTAAATATAGTGTGATAACTATATAGTAAATTTAAAGCCAGAAAGTATCTAAAATTCAACAAAACATTAGATTATGGAGAATATTTTCTTAAATGCTTAAGATTACTGAGTACTTAAAAATTATATATAAAAGGCGCTGATGTTATATTCAGTTATTTTTTTACGCTAAAGTCTCCATAGAACATTAGATAAACATCAATCTATCATTAGGCTGTCAAGCATGTTTTTTTTTTCTTTACCACTGTGTTAAATATATGCATTTCTGTGGTATTTTAAACTTAAAGTAAATAATATTTGTTTCAAATCAAATTATTTATACTTTAAATCAGCTAATATTCCTCAAATAAAGTTTCAGAAAATTATATTTGGAAGACTTTTTAATGAAGAGAATTACATTGTGATGAAAGACGACTAAAAGAAAGGGTGCTAATCAACTATTTTAACCATAAAAAAAACTTTCCAGTCAATTTGGATGAGTTCTTGAAATATGGCAAAATATTTTGCTTATTGGAAATATTAAATTTTATCTATTATCTTGAAATTAAAACTAAAATAAAATAAAAAAAATTTTTTCACAAAAAAAAAAAGTTTTTTAAACCTTTTTATTAATTTTTTTTTTTGGTGGTATTTACATAAATTGATTGAAGGTGTTAATGCTAAGAAAAATATGTATAAGTTTTTTTAAATTTTTTTTATTTTAATAATTTTTTAAAAAGTTTTTTTTTTTTTTTTAATAATTTTCATTTAAAACATTGACATGTGACTGTAAACTTATATAGAAATTGTTTACATAAAATAAAAAATACAGATGTATGTTTTGCTTTTATGTATCAGGAAATCAACTGATTTGTTAACCAGTACAAAACAATGTCTGGGATTTACAAAGTATCCAAAATAAAGTTTATAAATAACATTGTGTGTGACATTATGATTGAGACACCCATATAGGAAGGAGTGGTGTATAATTTTGTCATAGTCTTAAGTGTTCATGTTTTATGACTAGCGATAAAGTCTGTGAAACTGGGACTTTAAAAGCAGCCAACCACTTGACCAAAAGAAAATAAATTAATAGGCAAATGAAAACTTCTGGGAACAAGTAACAACAAACCAGACATTGAATGCTTATATTAACAGTTACAATTAGCATTGAGATAGTGCTGGTCTGTCTATTAATGACTGGAGGTTGACCATCAAGGTAGTCCTGATACTATCTGTTAGAGTTGTGCAAAGTTTGGACAAACTAATGCAAATGAGAATAGACACAACATGAGGTTTCATTGTTCGATTAGTGAAAAGATGAGAGTGGGCACCACTGCATATCATCAGCCAGTTTTTAGTTTATAGGCATCATAATTTGACCTAAAGTTCCTTCCATAAAGCCAAAAAGACTAGCTTTAAAAAAATACCCTACAAAGGTCTTCATTTATGCTTACTCTTTAGAGTAATTCTTGATATTCTGACCTTTGTTATAATATATCAAGTATGCTTCTTGTATCAATTGGCTGATTTAAAGTTTTTCTTTTTCTTTTAAAAAAGGTCACCTGTTATGAAAAAGATTTTTTTCTGTCAATTATTTGTGCTTGTCACAAAAGCCTTAGGTGACTATGTCAAAATTCATTGTAACTAAGTACATAACAGATGTATTATTGTCTTATTTACAGTGATTTGTTTCAACAGGCATTTAAAGAATTTGATTTTTTCTTCCAATGAATATAACAAGGAAGAATTTTGTGTTCATGTAATCTTTTATTCAAATTCCTTGGCAATTATTGAAAGTGATAGAGTAAATTCCTCCTTTAAGTTTTAGTTTACTATTTTGTTTTGTGTTAATTCTTTTATTGTTTTAGAAGGAGTTGTAACAAATTTTATGTTAAACTTAGATAAATTCTTTTCAATTGTAGTTGTGATAGAGTTGGTTGGTTGGTTGAACAATATATTTTGATTTGTTAGGTTTGTCAGAATGGTTCACTCTTCTATTTTAAAATATTTTACAAGTCTTTTGTTTTGCATTGAATATGAAATAATTTGAGTAATGGAAGTTCTTAAAAGTATTTTCATCACTAATCAATGCTATAAACAAAAATTTGGATTACCAATGGTTTCACCTCTGAGTGGGGTTTTAGGGCATATTTTCTTAGAATTTCTGGAATCTGGTCCTTTCCAGAATATTTTACCTAAACAGTCAACATAGTTCTGATATAGTGATGATGCTCTATTAACAAATCCTTGCAAAACTACATTACCTGACTTGTAGATAAACTAAAAAAAGTTGAACATCTGATAAAATTCACTTATGAAGCAGAAAGAAATAATACTTTATCTTTTCTAGATACCATACTGACAATGTCCTAAAACAAAGTGTCCATTGCAAATCAATTAATAAAAATGATCTCATAAATTTCCATTAAATTTTTAAAGAAGGAAATGTGTCACTCAAAAATATTTTTCCACTTTGTCATTAATTTTCCTACCATTTTTTGGGTATATAAAAATTTATCATTTTTTCCAGTATACTGTTGTCAACACAGAGTGGCGACAGTCTGTTTCATGCTTGAATGCAATCTTCAGGCCATGTGTTTTGGCTCAATTATTATGTTGCATTAGCAAAGTATATTGTATTTTCCTAATGGTTATTGAGTAGGCAGTAATGGTTATCTTTCTTTATTCTAGAGGCTATTTAGTTGAAATAATTGTGGATCCAAATTGTATATTGTTAACTTTTTACTCATTTTTTTATTGTTGATTATTTAATTATTTGTTTATTATAATTACATTTACTTGTGTTATGTGTGCATTTGTAATTTAATTTATTATTTACTTAATTTGTTTATTTTGATTTTTTTTTTTTTTTTTTTTTTCTTGGGTTGGTTATCTTATTTGTTTAGTTTAAAGTATTGACTTTATTTATACATTATGTGTGTTGTATATAGTATGTTGTATTATGTGTATTGTATATCATGTATATATTTGCATTATGTTGTATATACAGTGTAACCCGGATATAAGAGTTGTCAGGACCGGAGAATAAGTCTCTTATATCTGGGTTTGGTCTATTTTGTTTACATTAACACAGGCTCTAATTTGGGACCAGAGAAAATCTCTTATATCCAGGTTACACTATATATATATATTTATATTATATTATATCATATCATATAATTATATTATATATATATTATATTATATTATATATTATAATATATATATATATATATATGTGTGTGTGTGTGATTTCCTTTGTTATCAGCTGATTTTACCTTGGCTTGGTTTATTGTTTTGTGATTAATTGGCATTTAAGGCACATTTGTGCTTTGCTCTGCAGTTACAGGTGAGTAACTAATAAACCACCTACACAAATCAATCCTACCTGTAACTGCAGATCAAATCAGCAGATGAGGAAGAAAAAATATTTTATATTTACATACACTCTATCCATGATATTGAGCACTTTTACCCTTAAATATAGCATATTTTTTATCATACATATATATATATATATATATATATATATATATATATATATATATATGATAAAATATAGTTTTAAGGTATGCTATATTTATGGGTAAAATTTAGAGATAGACTGTAATATAAAAGAAGACACTGAGGTTAATACCAAGCAATCTGGCCTGATTGAATTGAAACATGAAATGGACTGTCACCACTTGGTGTTGGCCTCAATGTTCACTTAAATATATAGGTAGATAGAGAGATTAAAGTTTGCTAAACATCCCAATAACTAGTTTTTCTTCTTTCTGATGAAATTATTTACTACTGGCTTCCAATTGACAAAACATTGATTAATGATGAAAGTAGCTATGGTTGTATTAAGTTTCTTTGCTTGACTATTGTTTAGATTTGTATGCAATCAGTTTTCACTAACTCATTAATCATTAAATTTTAGTCATTTTTTAATTGACAAGATTTTATGTGCATTTTATTTATAATATATTTACAGAATCAGTAGGATAAACTACTCTGCTATATTTGTCAAGAAGTCATGTCAGTTCACAAATAAAAGAAAAATGATTCTTACATTCTGAAAAGACATGACAAAAAATGATTGCTTCATGATAATTCTGATTTCCATCAACCATACCCACAGTAGATAGAGATTCTGTTAAATAAATAATAAAAAAATATTTTCTATTGCCTGAATTTTGTATTTTATATTGGAGAAAAGAATATATAAAAAAAATTTAAGATTTAAAAAAAATAATAATTTCTATGAAATCAACCATTCATTGTCCTTGCAATTTTAACCTAATTTCAAATACTTTCTCCAAATAGAAATAGTTATATAAAATCCTAAAATACTGTAAAAGACTGCTTTTCTTTTTAGGGAAATTTATTTCCTAGTTTGAAAGTAACCTAAATTTTGTGACTATTTTTTTATATTGTAGATTGTGAGAAAAAGTGCTTCCTCAAAAATTCATTTTTAAAAGATTTATTATCAAAAAATGTATTTTTTTTTTAATTCTATATATTGTTCACTTCTGAAAAACTATTAAATGAAACTGTCTTAATTATCAGGAAATGTAAAGTTCATTTTTTTTACAAGAATATTGTATTTTTTTTTATTATGTCCAGACATTGAACTTCCAGAAATAGCTAAAATTCTTGGCTTTTTTTTTTTTTAAATGCCCATAATAACCATCATGACAAATATCTAAGATGTGAGTTCAAGTTTTATTAACAGCAGTTACTTTCTTCAGAATTGCTGCAGTTTAATTGATAGATATGCTTGGACCAGAAAAAAATGATGAAAATAAGATACCTAATAATTTCTTTTTTTTTTTTTTTTTTTTTTTTTATCCAGGTTCTTCTAAAGACGACAGTTGGTGACATTGATATTGAATTATGGTCCAAAGAAACTCCCAAAGCTGCCCGTAACTTTGTCCAATTATGTATGGAAGGTTATTATGATGCCACCATTTTCCATCGAGTAGTGAAAAATTTCATTGTCCAAGGTGGAGATCCTGAAGGTACTGGACATGGAGGTGAATCAATCTATGGATATCCATTCAAAGTAAAGTATCTTTTCCCCGTTTTTGATAAGGCTTATTGAAATTTAGAGAAACATTTAACTAAATTCTTACTCAATTTCTACTTTACTTTTCTTTAAGTCGAAATATTTGCATAATAAGGGACCTTACTCAGTATTCTTTGTGAAAGTTATCTCCCTTCTGTAATAAATTCACTTCTTAGAGTTAAGATTAACAGACGAAGAAACTTTTTTATCATTTTGAAAAAAATGAATTAAATTTTATATATATATATATATATATATATATATATATATATATATATATATATGCTTTTGACTCTTGCATTTTTCTTTCGTACATATCAAAGCTGTTTCTCTTATTGTAAACCACAAGAAACAATCAGAAACATTAACAATTTTTTTTTGTTAATTCCATACCAATTTTTCCTACATGCAAAATTTTCTTTTGTTTTTGTTACACTTTTATAAATTTATATATGAAAGTAAACAAGTGATTTGGGCAATGACAAATTTTTGTATTAATATTAAGCATCAAATGAATAAATCTCATTGAAATTCAAAGTGATTAGAATTTTATATATAAGATATATGAGATTTATTCAGAAAAATGCAAGAGTCAAAAGCAGTTCTTGTGTTGATTGTCAGAATAAATGTATAATCCACACTAAAAGCAAATAGAAAGGTGCTATGGTTTAAATTTGTTTTTTGCATTAATCAAAAGAAGAGAATTTTATTCTCTTTTTGTTAACATAATAAATTTTTTTTTATTTATTTCAGGATGAATTTCATTCACGTTTACGTTTTGTGCGGCGTGGGCTAGTTGCTATGGCAAATGCTGGTCCCAATGACAATGGGAGCCAGTTCTTCTTCACAATGGATTCCACTCCAGAACTTTCTAACAAACACACTATATTTGGCAAAGTTAGTTGATGCCATTTACTTTTTTTCTTTTTGTTGACTTCAGAGCTTCCATTATTTTAGCACTAATTTTTTTTATTCTTCAAAAAACACAAATGTCATTTCTTTTTTGTCATTTTTATTTTTAATCAAAATATATTGAAAAACATTTTCTTTTTGCTTTACTTTTATTTCTTGGCAATTGCATGCAAATTTATTCAGAAAGTTTTAAAAAAAAAACAGCATTCACATTAATCACACATGTTTTAATATTAAAAAAATTTCATTTTTTCCCCACCTGCTGAATAAAGCTTGTAATGGTGACTTAATTTTGTCTTCTAAAAAGTATTGTCAATATTCAATGAACAACAAAAAACAGTTTTTCCAAAAGAAGAACCTTTGACATCTTTATTCAATTTAAGTCTCAGACAAAACTTTCAACTTGACTTTCCCATCAAGTATTTTACTTGAACAAGAGAACACATAATCTTCAATATTTTAAAAACAACAAAGATGAGGATACTCATCCAAATAATTCCTATGCTGTTATACATTATATAATGTAAGATTGTCCAACTTAGTAGTTAGAGCATTGAACCTTTAACAGAGGCCAAGAGCTTTTCTTCAGAAATGCTGAATTATAGAAACTATTTTTTTTTTTTTTTTTTTTTTTTTTAACAACAAATGAATTTGTTTATTAAACCAAATTTTTTGAGTCATGGGCCATTGGTAAAAGTTGTCTATCCTATGATGTAGGAAGATGATTTTTTTTTTTCTATTGTTCAGCCAATATAAGGCCCAAGAGCCGCTCAAAGTAGAGAGTTACTGAATGAGATTGTTAGGAGGACGAGATGTGTATTATGAAGATATTTAGGATAGATATTGGTTGACCCTAGCATCTTCTCGGAAGACTGTTCCACAAAATGAGCTATTTGAGTGAAACTTCTCCCTTACCAAAAGAATATGAAAGGAATAAAGATAATTTGATGCCATGTATGTAGCATGGCAGGTCCTTGTTGTGAATATCTTGACATTTGCTGTGTCAAGAGAATGTGTGGGAGGAGTAACAATTTCAAATCTACACATACACACACAATGTGCCATACACACAATGTTCCATTCAAAAAAGATTTCAGGAAAAATGTATATGCACATTATAAGTGACGTAAGTAAAAAAAAAATTTTTAAATTAAATTTCTCAAGTTAATAATATTTAAATTTTAACATAAATTACTGAATTTATTTTACCATTCTGTCGCAAAATGAAAGATTTTCATAATCTAATGTATTTTAGATTCATTAGTGTAAGTGATGTGCATTATGGTGTAATGGATAATGGCTCAGAATGAGAAATTGGAGAGCTGAGTTCAAATTCTAGTCAAATTTTGTTACATTCACTTACTTGGCAAAGGTATAAATTCATCATTCCCTCCCCAGCTATGGATTGAGTAGCAGAACAGACTGGGTTCTTGTGGGGAAAATTGTGAAAATGGCCTACCTTGGAAACGAATCTGTGCGTCGTGCAAACTTCGGTTGCTCAACGGTAAAAAGAACCAAATGGAGGCACCCATGTTTTATGCCAGGCAGTCTCGGACAGTTAACGCGAAATCTTGTTGTCTTGTCATTCGCATGCAAATCATGGTTGGTCCTCGGCTGTATAAAGCAGGAGCGTTTTTGTTTTTGTTATTTTGAGGACGGAGTTTTTTTTTTTTTTTTTTTTTTTTTCGTGAGAAGGTTGGACGTGTGACACTATTTTGTTGGTTACCCTCCTCGCGGTTCCTATCTACTCTTATCAGTTGAGTCATTGCTTTACGACCACAGTTCTATAGCCTTGGTTGGGAAGCAGTCTACTACAGAATGAAATGGCAACCTACTGTGGGAAAATCTTCTTCCTAGTCGGGTATGAATTGAAAGAGACGTGATCACTGAAGCATGTACCACATATGGCACTTAACTGAGTGTAAGTCAATGACTTCAGAATTTATTTGTCACTTTTTTTTTTATATATCTAAGCTGAAATATTAAATAAGATGGTTTTGACTATAGCCTCAGTGTATTCTTATAATCTACATAAAAATGTCATCTGGTTTATCTCTATCTAATTTGTATAAGTAGACACTTGACTGATTTGTTTCCACTTTTTCTTTTTGGGGTTGGGGTAGAGTAGGGGTGTTTACAATTCAGATTTGGATGATTTTCCAAGAGAATATATGTTTTGGAGAAAACTTGCTGATTTTCTTGTAATCTTTTTGAAAATCTTTTAAAGAATAAGCTTTTAGGTAAAATATAAATGTACAAATTGGATTTGCATTTCAAATGGGGTGAAATGTCACTTGAAGATCAACCGTGATCTGGCTGACCTTCAGCAAAAGCCAAAGTGATAGAAATCTTTGAAATGTTCACTACACAATCAGTGAAAATTGTTGTTGATGCAATATTTGAAGTGACTGTCTTCTCTTGGAGTTCATATCAGCAAATTTTGACACAAGGTTTAAGAATGAAATGTTTCCTAAAAACCTTGACTTGCTTGCTCACAGATGATGAAAAATACAAATTTGAATGCATGTCACAAATTGAGGGAACAAGTTTGAAATAACTCCTAGTTTTCTTTTTTTTTTTTTTTTTTTTTTTTTTCTTTTTTTTCCCTTCAAAAGTTGGAACTGGAGATGAGTATTTGCACTATGGTTAAGAAGTTGGAAATAACAATCATTATTTTACGCAATACAAACAGCCAAATATTTTATGCAATACAAACAGCCAAATTCATCAAGACTAAAAAAGATGAAGCAAAATTGAGTTGTTTCTTCAAGGAGAATGAAATTGTGTACAGGGAATTTTTACCTCTTGGAGAGATGGTAAATCATTGTCTTTTATTTAGAGGTACTGAGAATATTATGTGAAAGCATGCAGAGAGAAACAACCCCCCAAAATGTAGAAGAGATTGGATCTTTCACTATTCTATGTGACGCCATGCTTTATTCCTTCATTTGAAACAAAACCTGAAATGGGGAAAATTTTTGCTGATGTTTTTTATATACAAAAACCATTCAAATATTCTCAATTTTCCAGCATTGGAAGAAATTTTTGGGAAAACAAATTTAGCCAAGAAGAAAGACCAGTGTCAAGTTGTAAAATCTTATGAAACATTTAAAAAATAATTCCATTTATTTTGGGTTTCATCATTTTATTCATATATATATATATATATATATATATATATATATATATATATATATATTATTGAATGTATAGATGTCTAGTTAGTGTTATTAACATCTTATATGGATGGTCTTTACTTAAAAGTTGCATATTAATTTACCAAAGTAGTTTTGAATTTATGATTCAGTGTTTTTTTTGTTTTTTACTAGTTCCTTAAAGAAGTCTTTTAATTATCAACTCCAAAATTCTATGTAGGAAGATGACTGAGCATATAGTCTGTTCCTGTGAAAGTTGAATGTCAAACTTCTCTGTATTTTACGAAATAATGTAATCATTTGTATTAGTCACAAATGAAATTGTTTAGGATTCTATGTCTTCGTCATGACCTATATAATTTTTTTAAGTTGGTTTAGATTTTAGCATGGGCCTGATATTTGATTGGTTAATCATGGTAAATCCACAAGCTTCATTTTAATTCTGTTTTTTTTTTTTTTTTTTTTTCTTTTTCTTTTTCTTTCAAAAAGTCGGTTGGTAGCAATGGTGACAGGTGGAGGTAAATTGGTAAGAAAGATGGGGGAAATTACTAACGGCCACTGAAAAGATTTGCTATGAGGTACCAATGTGAGAAGGAGTGAGTTTAGGAGGATAGCTATTCTGCAACCTCTCCTCACAGAAAAAAGGGATCCCACTCCCCAAAAATGGAAAGTAATTAATTTTCCAAAATGGGAAGTAATCAATTTTCCTCGCTGGACAACAAGGGGGTCCCTTGTCAAAAATTGGGAATTACGAAAAATTCCAGTCTGCATCTAACTCCACACCGGTTTTTGTTCAATGTCCATATAAGTGAGCACCCTCGGGCAGTACACCAGTTGAGTTCAGTAGCTGTTGGAGTTGTAGAAGTTCATGAGCTGACAGAGAGATTCCATGATTCTGGCCTCTGACCTCACCTTTCTACAAAACAGCAAGTTATACTGACGAACAAAGCTAAGCCAGCACCTAAAAACTAAACCAGTTGACTTAGAAAACCAGAACTTACCTAGACGTATAATAGTGTCACTCTCAGAAGAAACGGGTTGGGAAAAAACACATACTCCTTTATAGAACAAACCGATAAAAGTTGATTTGCTTTCTTTCAACATATCCAAAACTTTTTCTGGTTTTAATTTATTTCTTTTTATGCTTGTGCAACATCACCTTCAGTTTAGAGTCATCTTGCACTATGGCTCAGTGCCTGATTGATCTCATCTACCTAAGATCAAATCATAACATGGGTAGGTTAGACTTGAGATCGAAGTAGTTACTTCGGTAACCAGTCATTGAAAGTGAGCCAAGAATGACGGAGTTGGTGTTGGACTGGTGTGAAGCCATTAGAATTGGCCAACAATCTTATTTGGTACCCTGATCAAAAGTTCTCACTGGGTAGCGACGACTGCTGATCGACCGGGTCACATGTTGGTGGCAGGGACTAAAAGTCAACCCCAAAACACTGGTAGGAGAAGTATCACAGCTTCACGCCGTGACTAGGAGTTGACCCCTGGGCCAATAATACTGTGTCACATTTAATGTTTTTGTTTTAATCTCCATTAATAAATAATATTTAGCTCTATTAGCATTGTGCCTTCTTTTAAATTAAATGTTACAGACAGTGGAATTATGTTCCATTTGCTCTTATCTTATATATATATAATTATTTATTTTAAAAAAATTTATAACATAAATATGTTATAAAATCACTACAAAAATAGCCATTTTGTTTCAACAGTCCCGGTGTCTTATCAAGTGATGATGTTGAATGTAAAATAAATGGTTTTAAAAGTTTCAAATTAATTAACAATCCTTTGCAAGGGGAAAACGTTACAAAAGCTAGATTGACCAATCAAAATACAAGTATAGGAAAATTCAAAAAGCTTGACAACGACTTGTATTTTGATTGGTCAATCTAGCTTTTGTAACAACGTTTTCCCCTTGCGAAGGATTGTTAATTAATTTGAAACTTTTAAAACCATTTATTTTACATTCAACATCAACACTTGATAAGACACCGTGGGTGTTGGAACAAAATGGCTATTTTTGTAGTAATTTTATAACCCATTTATGTTATAAATTTTTTTAAATAAAAATTATATCTGCTCTACTTTGTATTGAGCACTCTTTTAAGAATAGTAATTGTTGGTTATTGGAATTCATTCCGTATACACCAATCATATACTTATATATATATATATATATATATATATATATATATGTGTGTGTGTGTGTGTGCACAAGCACTGAGTTTTGTAGATATGTTCATGCTTTTATAGAAGTGTCTATATATTTTAAAGTAAGTTTGTTGAAGAGTAACAAATACTGTATTTTTAATTTCTTCTTTTTATTACAGGTGGGTGGAAATACTCTGTACAATATGCTTAAATTGCAAGAAGTGGATGTTGGCCCAAATGACAGACCTTATTATCCTGTCAAAATCCTTTCAACAGAAGTAAGTTTAATTATAAACATTTTTAGCAATTTTTTTTGAATGTCAAATTCATTAAATGCTCAATAGAATTCAGCCATAGTGCTTTAAGTTATTGTCATGTAGACATTGTTTTTTGAAGGAAATGGATTTCTTACCAACTACATTTTAAAATGTATCTTCGATTTTGTCTGAGACTTTGAAGTATTGTTTACTTCACATCCCATTTTCAAATGATTCAGGTGAAATAATTTTCTGTTCATTGTGTGTGCGGCCATATGCAAAGTCAACACCTGAAAAAGGCTAGAGAAAGAACTGGCTTAAATAATTAGCATAACAAACGCTATCAAAGATGAAGATCATTAAAAATTTTAAATTAAAAGAATTCATTGAATATTAGTAAATGAAAAATCCTAGAGTTGTTACATATATATCTCAAATTTAAATAAGCAAACTCTTTTTTTCTAAGGTACAAAATAGGATTTACTTAATAAAGAATTAAATAATTATTGTTTCTAAATCTTTCAAATTCAGATGATGTTTTGATTTCTGTAGTGAAATAATGCTTGTTTTTATCAGGTGTTATCGAATCCTTTTGATGACATTGTACCTCGACAGTTAAAACGAGTTGTGAAAAAGGACAAAGTTGAAGAGAGAAAAAATAAAAGTCAGTCAAAAGCCACAAAGTACGTAAGTTTTAAAAAAGTCAATCTCTGCTTGTTAAATTATTTTTTTCAAGTAATAATTTCACTGTTCAGACATTTTATGAGATGTGTGTAAATGTTCCCAGTGCCTTTTTAGAAAACTACATTGCTAATATATATCTTGTTTTTATAATCATTATGATTTCACAAAAAAAATCTTACTTGATGGTTAGATTTTTTGAAGATATTTTTTCATTTCATCTTAATTTCTGTTATAACAGTGGAATAATGGATATTGGCTCAGATTGAGGAATCGGAGAGCCGAGTTCGAATTCCAGTTAAATCCATTACATCCACTTATGTGCTAATACCCTTGGGAAAGATATGAATCCTCTTCTTCTACCCCCAGCTATGGGTAAATAGCGAGGCAGACCAGGTTCTATAGCCTTGGATGGCAACTGGTCTACCTCCAGAAAGAAATGGCAACCTACTGTGAGGAAAAAAATCTGGCTTGTCAGTCAAGTATTGAAAGATTGCCTAAATGTGTATCACGTATGGCACATAACTGACTGATTCATCCTTTAGTCCTTTCAGTTGTGATGAAGAAAGTTTTAATGAACTAGTCTAGACTGGGAACCACTTGATTCTCAGTGAATGTATTTGTATCCAATTGCTATAGTAAGAAAAAAAATTTCTGATTACTTGAGCACCTATTTTCCCCTGTGTCACTGATAGGAGCCATTTATACATCTTAAAGTGACAGGAAATGACATCACAGTTACAAAGACAATGCTTTTCATTGGACTATTTAACAGTTTTATAGAATGGTGATTTGGAGTTGTAATAAAAAACAACTGAAATTAAGATGAAAGAAATCCAAGTCAAAAATGAAATAATAATCGATAATGTTTTATGTAAGAAATTCAAATCATTATAACTAACAGTACAAGTGTATGTAGACAAAGAAGATTGTGTCATATTTGGCATTTGGAGAAAAATAAGGAATAAAGCTAAATGGGTAGCTTTAGATGACTGCAACTAAATGTCTTTTGTAGACATAAAGCAGCTGCTATGAAAAATCAGACAATGAAGGATAAGGGATGTGAACAATTGCCATACTAACAATAGTGAATTGACAGTTTGAGAGTTGCAATAAAAAGAACTATTGAAATTAAAAGAAATACTAGTCAAAAATGAATAATTAATATTTTATTTAAGAAATTCAATCTTATGGTTGTTCAGAAAGAAATATTTTGAAACTTCAATTAATGGAAAAGTAAAACCCAGTTCAAATTCATTTATCTTACATTTTCATCTTTTAAATGACACTTGTATGGATGACCTTGAAAGGATTTTCTTTGAAATCCTCTACTGCTACCCAACAATTATTGGTAATTTAATTCTATTATTTACTTACATCCAAAAGTTTTCTGTTTTCTATTTAGAACCTTTAGAATCAATGTTGCTTTGAAGTGGAATCTTTTCAGCAATTGTTGTAGCCATTTTTAATCCAAAGTTTGAAATCAAATGAAAGTCTTTTTTTCTTATGGCAAAACTTCAGAAGTCTTACCGGGTGCTCCAAAAGTAATGTGTATTATTTATTGACAAAGAAAGTACAACAAGTACAGGGAGCACTATAAAACCACTTTGTAACTGTGATCACATGCACTGTTTGGTTTCTGTAAATGTTCATCAAGCATTGATAATGCAATATAATGTATTTTTTTAATATGGAAGAATTCAGTGACATGCCTCTACTTAGTACACTTTCATGTCATATGCTATTTTGCCAGAATTCCACAATAACAAGGCCAAAAACAAATATGGTATATTTTAGGTAAAGATGAAAAAAAAAAAAAAAACTTTGGAGGCATTATCTTGTACTTGTGACAATAAGTTAATCATTATTCAGCTTTGAAATATTGTACTTAAAAATGGCTTTTACTTTTTAACAACCCTGTCTTTATCTTTAAAAACAGATTATTTCAAATTGTTATTTCTGAATCTTGCTTTTTTTTCTTTTTTTTTACATTTATTTACTCATGGACTTTGTTGAATTTTGATCTGTAATTTGCCTGTGTGTAATTCAGTTTGATAGACAAACGTTCTTTGCACAGTTCATCTCTAATTAATGTTTCTAATATTCATTAAAACCTTTAACAAAACAACCTTTGATTTCACTTTGATTTTCTCCAATTTCAGATTTGTTTTTATTTTTTTAAAAATGTTTGATTTTGATTTTTAGAAATTTCAGTCTGTTATCATTTGGAGAAGAAGCTGAAGAAGATGAAGTTGAAGTCGATAAAGCTTCAAAGGTGAAATTCACTTTTGACCATTTCTTCTTTTCTTTAAACACAGCAGCATAAACTATTTTTCAACTCTTCTTATTATTGGACAATTTTGCTGAGACCAACACAAAAATGCACCACAGAAGTTTCATTCTTCTTTATTGATTGATTAGATGTGTGCAAAATCCCCAACATTCAATTTGACAATCTAAATACATAGTTGAAAAACATTTTTTCCTTAGAAACTTTTGCTCACACCAGATAGATTGCTACTGAAACCTGTCAGATTCTTGTAAAGCTGTTTTTGAAGAAGAAATTTATTTTTTTCTAAAATGATTCTCACACTTTCCTCGGCTTTCTGATTCCATTACAGAAAAACAATAACAAAGTTGAATGTTGAAATTCTTTGTCCAATTTCCTATCATCTGAGTTTTCTGTTTCTATCGCCACATCATACTGATCATTTTATCAGATGTCATAAATTATACAATTCAACAAAAACCCACTTACCACATTGATACAAAATAGTAAATATACAAATAAAACTAGTGAATAAAGTGCCTATAAATTTGTTAAATCCTTTGCAAACTTATAAAAAGTCTAATATAAAAATTTCATGTTGGCCTAATATATATGCCACCCTCTTTTGTTGGCTAGATATACAATTTAGTCACAAGAATTTCAAATGTTTCCACAAAAAGATTTCTGAACGTAAATCAGTTTTTTTTTTTTTATGTAGAAAATAATTTATTTTCATTTGAGTGAAGACATAAATTTTGATGTTCATTTGAGTGAAGAAGAAAATTTTGATGTTTGGTTTCATACATTTTAGGATATGCGTGGAAAAAGTAAAAGTAGCCATGATTTGACAGATGATCCCAAATTGAGTGCTATTCCTGCCATTGAATCAGAAGGTGAAGAGAAGACAACAAATGACGAAGAAGAACAGGCAGAAGAGGTAATAACCATTTTTTTCCTATAGATACAATTCTACATTTATAGTCTTTGTGAATCCATTGAACAATATTTAAAAGAAATTTTGTTGATATCATTCTCTGTGTATTTATTCCAAATCTCTGGTTCAAAGCAAATTTCTCTTTGGAATTAAGCTATTATCAATATTTAGTGATTTGCACAAACAAATATTTTCATTTTTGGAATCTTTTGGCTAGTGCACTCTCCATTATCCAGAATTTTGGAACAGAACCTATTATGCTATTAATGATGCTCTTTTGAAAGTCAGAGTTCTTTTTCTTAGTTGATCTCTTAGGATATGCTCAGGGATTGAACTGAAGTTGTTGAAATCAATTTATGAAGGGTAAAGAAAATATTTAGATTTTAGGAAAAGTAACTAAAAAAATCTGAATCAGTCAAGTGAATAATTCTATTTGTTTTCTCTTTTTTTGAAAATTATTTTCCTTTTGTTTTCTACAAGAATATCTGAAATTGTAAGATGGCAGATGAGTTGTTTAATGATTTTTGAGGACTAATTCTCCTCTTTGCTTCCCACTGGTTCATTGTCCAGCTTTCTTTAGGTTTCATTTTGTCTCTTGTTAAGCATTGCATTGTGGGATATTGAATTATATCTAACATCATACTGAAGGTTTTTAATTATGTAAACACTTTCTAGTTTAGAGTTATAGTATATATCTCCTCCCACCTTAAGACATTAGTGCTACACAATCTTCAAGCTAATGTGTTTCCAACCTTCTAGAAATTTAATCTTCTCATTATTTGCTGATCTAGTATCTTCATTATTTACAGTCTTTGAACTATTGTCCTCATCTTTGTCGCCATATTTATTACAATGTTTCAGCCATTGTACGCTCTGGCCTTCTTCAAACAGAACCCTTTATTCCACTCACTGGGGTAGACTGTTCTAGTTCCACGTGCCATGTTTAATGGATGTCCTATTAATTCCCCTCTCCCAATTCTCCACTGCCTTAACTGGGTATTGAACTCACACTCTTTGGGTCCTGTCACTGTGCCATGTGTCCTTGAGGACATCTGTGTATGAATTTCTGGGTATTATAAACCGAACATCTTCAGCAACCATTTTTTACCAATGCTCATATTGCAATTTTTTGCTGTTATTCCTGCATGTTTTTACCAGAGCTCATATTGCAATTTTTGTTATTATTGCTTTTCTCTGGCACTCCTTATTACTGGTTCCCATATTGTATTCATTTCTAAATGTTGTAATAGATATGGCAACAAAGATGAGGACAATAGCCCGAATAATGTAAATAGTGTACATAATACCTCATGTCAGAAATATAGACACACTGAAGGGCCGAAATGTTGTAATAAATATGGCAACAAAGATGAGGACAATAGTCTGAGTAATGTAAATAGTGTACATAATACCTCATCTCAGAAATATAGACAGATAGTATCTTCATTTTTATTCTTTTGATCAATACACCCTCTGGTCTTCAACCTGTTATTTCCAATTATATGAAAACTAGTCATTATTCTCCAAAATATTCAAACAAGTTTCGTGAGGAGAAAATTACTCTGAGTAACAAAATCATTTTTTTCTAATTGGAATTCATTGTTTGTCAAATTAATCATCAAGATGGCCAGAAAAATTATTAGGCAAAAAATAATACATAAAAAAGACAAGCACAAAAGACAATAATTCATGGAACAATAGAGTTGTGCCTGGTTGATAATCCACTGACATCAGGTCACTCTGATAATTCTTGCAGACACATGTATCCTATTATTATTTATTAATGGAGTGAGTTCCATTCTCTTACCCTGTTAAGGTGATTCTGTCAGCTAAGCTTAGTAAACATATGTGTAAAGGGAAAAAAAAACAAAAAAGCATTTTAATGATTGTTACAGTAATCATTAAAATACTTTTTTTTAAATCTTTTTTTTTTTTTCATCTTTAGTTTTACAAAACAATGGCAAAGAAAAGATTCTGTTCCATTTTTGGAAATGAAGTGATGTTAAATGTAGATAGAAGAGAAACAAGATTGTTTTCTTTATATTTGTCTTAGTACAACTTTTCTGATAGAAAATTCCAGTCAAGCATAGCAAAAATCTTTGCAGTTTGCTGATTAACGCAATAAATGTTTTTATTTTTCCTTCTGAGAAAACTGAAGATAACACTTGTTATTTTTATGTTATAAACTATTTAGTCAGACAGCAAATCTGGAAAAATGGAAGATTCTCCACAAACCAAGAAAAGGAAGTGTGAAGAACAAGATGAAGATGTTCCTTCAAAATGGTTAAAAGATTCCAGCCTCTCAAATCAGGATGAAAATGTATCAGAACAGAAACTCAGTCGAAGGTAAGTTCTTTTTCTATTTCATTTTATGACAAAAATAAAATAAACAAAACAAAAAAGTGACAAAGATAAGTTTGACTGTTTTTGATTATTATTAAAATAAAGTACTCTGTTTGATGACAATAATAAAAATTGTTATTGTATTACCATTTTGCTCAATTATTATAATAAACAAATAAATGAAAATACCCAATAAATTTCCAGACATTTATCCTAAGGTCCATCTTTGATTTCTGGGCCAGAAGTTAATGACTCGTTAGCTGAGGAATCTGTTTATTGCTTTTTTAAAAGCTGTCAACTACTGAACTTTTCAAAATAACTAAAAGTCTCTTGATTATAGTTTAATTTTCAATAAGAAGTTATTCTTTGGTAATTTTGAAACTGATTAAAAAATCTAATTAAATGTAATTAAGTCATCTTAATATTTGACTTATCTCTGCTATTGCAACTGTGTAACTCGTTGCTTCTTCTTGTCCCATGTTATATTAAAGGGAGATGGTCTACATCAAATAAACTCCCCTCTCTCATACCATGGCCCTAAATATGCTATTTCACTTTTAGGTGCAACAATTTTAATGTTGTAAGTTGGGATCTGGAATGAGAACACAGAAAATGTCTTAAACTTTGAACATATTTATTTTTGGTTCTCTATTCTTTTGGCATTCAACAAAATGATAAAACTTGAAGTCTAATCAGGTATTCCTGTTGTTAAATGTGAGTTAAGATGTTTTCTGACTGTAGTAAAAACAGAACCAGTGAATAAACTTATACCAAAGCTTTATTGCACTTTACTCTGACTACTCGTCTATTGACTGATTTTATAGGGTGCTTTTTATACTTCTTAGATCTTAAGGGGAGATAACTGATGATATATCAGTACACTGACTTTATATTCTTAGCAGGAATTCAATAATAAGCAAAAACAAATACATTTCAGCCTTATTTGATAACAGCAAGTTTTGTGGGTTTTTTTTTTTAATTGTTTTTTTTTATGAGAAAATCTGAAAATCAATCGCTGCCTTTTCTCTTTAAAAATTTATCACTGGAAATATTTTTTTTCTTGATAAATTTTTATCAGTTGTTTATTCAAGAAAAAATGGTTTTATCAACTCCCAGACAGAATAATTCCAAGAGATTCATACATCCTTCACATTAGACAATATTTAATTATTGTATTTGCTGATGTAAAAGTGAATTTTTTTTTTTTTTTTAACTATATAAATGTCTAACCAGTTTATGGGAAGTGTTAAACTTATTGTGATTACGAGGTTTCTATTTCTGGAAGTTTAAAACATAACTCATAAATATTACTTGCTTTTTTATTATGTTTTCATGGTGTTTAAGGAAAATAATTTGTTATTTGAATAAAGTTAGAAGTTTGATTTAATGTTTTTTGATTATTGTTTCAGTGAGGAGCTTCGATTGGAAGCAGAAAAACTGAAAAAAGAAATCCGTAATTCCCGGCAAGGAACAACAGCAGAGAAAGAAGAAAGAGGTAAGTGGTTTTTTTTGTTTTTTTTTTACCTCACCAAATGATTAATGTAATCCATTTGTCTCCCAATTGTAATAACTACAGTCGGAAGGGAAAAAAATGCCTAACATAATAATACAGAAAAGATGTTCCATTATGAGTTTGATTCTGAAAATTGAAAAATCACTACTTACTGTTGTATTGGTTACAATATTTAAAAACTGATGTACAATTTCTAACTAACATTTATTTCTGTCCACTTTAGAACAAACTGAACATGGAACTAAAACTGAAGTTGTGGCAGAATTTCGAAAGGAACGTGAAAAATACAAGGAGATGAAACGACAACAAGGTAAAAAGGGATCAGGTCGAGAGGCTCTAACATTGGAACTTCTGTCCAAGTTCCAGAATCGTCTTCGTGCAGCTCAGATGGTTAGTGGAAGCTATTCTGACAATGATGATGAGGAGGAAGAGGAGGCTGAAGAAGATTTAAAGGAAGGAGAAACTCCTGAAGTGGATGAGATAAGTGATTTATCATGGTAAATATTCTGATTAATTCAGTTTGAATTCGTTTGTGATAGAATTCAGAGCCAATTGTCTGTTATTGTATGACTCCATTTTGTATTTTTTTCATTGAAATTGGTGACATGTTTTAATGGCAAAAATGCATTGTGGGATTCATAAGGAGGCAAAATAAAATACCGCTTTTTTTTTTTTTTTTTTTTTTTGGCCTTTATATTGAAAAATTTATTAAAGTTCATTCATCTTTTGATTGAGAATGGGAAAGTGATGATTGCTCTTTGTCAAGGCTGACAATGGCAGTAATGCTGATGCCTAAACAAGTAAAACCTTTCTCCCTACTTGCTTTTCAATCAACTGGTGGGACAGAGCATAGGGGGAAAGTGGATTCATGACTTTCCCCAGGATATTAACAGACTCAGAATTCAAGCTAATAATCAGTACATCACACTTGTAAATAGTAAATGATGATTTTACAGGGTGTGACAAAAATACCTCCCACATAAAGGCTAGATGAATACACCGTTATCACTGATGTCTAACCAGTATATAGGAGGTGTTTCTGCCACACCCTGTATTTTGTATCATTATTGAGTTCCCAAAACTGTGGCCTTGTGTGCCAAATTGTTAAGCATAGTAAATATATACTTTATTAAAAGGTGTGGATGTTGTAATCCAAAAATGAAATCTTAATGGAATTCCATTTCTGGTTAAGGCTAGTTCAGTTCACTTTGCAAAAGGCATGAATCTACTTTTTCCTATACTCTGCTCCATTGCTATTTTTGTTGATGAAGTTCTTGTCAATAGCTTTTCTTTGCTGGAGAAGTGAGCAACTTATTAATATAGACAGTAGCAGTAAAAAGCTATTAACATACATTTGCACTCTTCCTGAGAGGCATCCGTCACTTTTTACTCTGACTTGAATTACTATCATTTATTTGTAATCTTATCGAAAGGAAAAGTATTTTTGCTATTCAAGAAGTCATTCTCGTATTTCCTGATGTTTATGTGGCTCATCCCCAGGTGTGTTTTATCTGTTTTGGTTGCCTTTTATGAAATACTGAATAGATGGAAATCTCACTAGCGCAGACCTGAGCATTATTCCATGCATCTCTTGCAATTAATGTGGCAGACCCTCCTAAATCTAGATTTGCAAATTCAAACTATGACATAACACATTTGTTTGGATAAAAAGGTGTTAACAATCTCTTCATAGCTAAGATTTAGCTGTTTATATTTTAAAGCAACTTTTCACATTCAAATGACTTTCATTTTTTCCATTTTTCTCTCTCTTTCTTCTTAGGTTACGACATAAATTGCATTTTGTGGAACCTGACAAGAAAGTATTGGATGCCAACGTACATGATATTGACAGATATGAATTGTTTGATCCTCGCAATCCTTTGAACAAACGGCGTAGAGAAGTGAGCAAACAAGCACTAAGAGAAAAGTAACCTCTCCCTTGATTCTCCCATTTTTTTTTTTTTTTTTTTTTATTCTTGGCCAAGAAATAGAGAGAGGGATTTTCTTTGAGAAAGTAAAAAAATAAATCATATCAATGATGAAGATAATTGTCTTTATCTTTTTTATCAAGTAAGGAAGGAAAAATGGTCCAATTTCAAGAATTTCTTCTTGAAGAAAGACAGTAAAAACATCAAATTCAGAGAATATTATATTATTTACTAGCAATTCAATGTTTAAGAATAATTTTATATTTGTTTTTGCAAATAGTCCACAAAAACAAACTCAACTGCTTGTAATATTATTAAATAAAATTGGCTAAAGAAATTTCACATAGAAATGAATAAAATTTCTGAAATACTGTTTGGGGATAGAGGAGGAGGAGGTTATATATATATATATATATATATATATATATATATATATATCACTCTTGCATTCTATAAATTTTAAAATGTTTAATAGAAAACTACACTCAAAAGTAATTTTGCATGCATTTTATTCAGCTGTGGGACTTGACATGATTTTGCCCTGACAGCATTTTAACCTGCAAAAGAAGAAAAAAGTTATTTTATTGATTTTAAAAAGAATTTTTTTTCATTTTGATAGAAAAATCTAATAGAAGAGATGAACTTTGAAATGAGGTGATAGATATTATGATGCCAATTTGCATATATATATATATATATATATATATATATATATTTCTGCATTACCTGGTCCAGGATTGAACTCATCACTTAGAGGGAATAGGCACATGAGATTTCTGAATAACATTTTTGCAATTCTTCACTATTTGAAGAATCCATGTAGAAACTGAAATCTGATACGACTGTTCATGTGTGGAAGGAAAAAAGGCACACGATTAATGGTATTTAGATGTTTAACACCGTATAAGAGTTAGTATGCTGAAAAGAATAGAAATTAGTTCAACATTTAGTGGGTGTGCTACCTGACTAGTCAGCTAAAAGTATTGGTAAAGCTTATTGTAGGAAGTTGAGTCTCTGAGTTGAGATTTGTACATATAAAGAGTTGATGTTTAGGATTTCTGAGACTGTTATGGAAAAAAAATGAAACTTTGAAAGAACTCAAGGTTATGTCTGAAAAAATGTCCAGCCATTTAAATTAAAAAAAAAAAAAAAAAAACTACGTAGGGTAAAATAACATTTTAGTTCTCTTAGTCAAAGTACCCCCACCCCATCTGTGGTACCCTGACACTCTTATCTCAGTGCCCCACCTCCCCACTGTTTTCTTGTTACAATCTCCTTAATCTTGCTCACTCTATTTTCACTTTGGAATAAAAAACAAGATGCAAGGAGCCAAATCTGAACTCTAAGTGAGAGGGGCCGACAGATCTGAATGCTGTGGTATTTTGCCAAAACTTCTAAATGCTTTGCTCATTGTAAATGCAATAGTTACACAGTACATACTCACTCAGTTGGGTTTCATTATGAACATAATAATCTTGTGGTATGGAGGCACAGTGGAGTAATGGATAGTGGCTCGGATTGAGGAATCGGAGAGCCAAGTTCAAATTCCAATCAAAACCATTACATTCACTTAGGTGATAATACCCTTGGGAAAGGTATGAATCCACTTCTTCTCCTCCTAACTATGGGTAAATATAAGGACAGACTGGGTTCTATAGCCTTGGATGGCAACTGGTCTACTTCAGAAAGAAATGGCAACCTACTGTAGAAAAAAATATGCCTTGTCAGTCATGTATTGAAAGATACATGATCGCCTAAGCGTGTATCACGCATGGCACATAACTGACTGAATTTTACTTATGTGCTAATACCCTTAGGAAAGGTATGAATACTCTTCTTCTCCACCCCAGCTATGGATAAATAGCAGGGCAGACCAGGTTCTATAGCTTTGGATGGCAACTGGTCTACTGCAGAAAGAAATGGCAACCTACTGCATGGGGAAAAAAATCTGCCTCATCAGTTATGTATCAAAAGATACATAAGCGTGTATCACACATAGCACATAACTGACTAAATCTTGTGGTAGGGGAGTGTCTGTTCATGACTGTGCAGTAAGGTCTCCTCTGATTGGTTGCCAAGTTACATCAAAGCTGAGCTTAAAAATGACTGAATGTTTTCAGGACATATATTTGAAATCCTTTAATCTGGCACAAGGCAACACAATTATGGTAAATGCATTTCCATACATACACATTTTAATCCTTACCAATAACATGTTGGTCTGCAGATCGAAGAAAAAACTTTAGACAGAGGCGATGACAAAACCATTTTATGACTATTGGCTTCATTGTTGCATGATACTCTTGACACACTTTAACACAACTGTGGTAGGGACTCTCATCTGCACCAGGTGGCGCTGCAAACAAGAATTAACATTTATACAAAAAATAGCACTTTTATTTATTTCTTGCCAATCTAAATGATATGATGACTACCATATAGAGAAATGGTCGTTACTGTATAAATCAGTTTTTATGTGGATTAGGCACTTGTAGTACAGGTAATGGTTAACAAGTTTTGGTCATATAAGAGGATGCTGAAAAGTTCTCAGCCAGGCAAGAAGTCTTTCCAAAAATTATATCTGATATTTGTTCAGATATAGAAGTGATTTGGGCCAAGAACCATCAAAAAAAGATGATGGATGGATCAACACTTCTACTCTTTATCAAATCAGGTCAAGCAATACTTAGTCTAAAACAATGTTTTAGTGTGAGTCAGAAGAAGGTTAATCTGAAAAATCAGCTATTTCTAGTATCTTCTTTCTAGGTTTATTGCCAATATTGTCATGACCTCTAGATTGCTTATTTGTGCCGATTGGAACATGTAAATCATTTCTGATTACTCTCTTCAGACTAATTATATTTGGGATTTGTTTAAATACTTTTTATTGTGTGTATTTTTAAAAAATTTTAAAGTGGTTTCAATAAGGAATAGAAAAAAAAATTTGATGTAGCTATGGGAAACTATGATGAAGCAGAGACTTGTAAACTGGTTGCAATATATAGCCGACACATCTAGCTCTGATTATAAACAAAAAAAAGACTGTATTATAGAGAGATGACAAACACATAATCCTAAAAAATTAAAATAATAAAAATTACAATATTATAAAAATTTTCAAGGGAATAAGATTTAAAAACAAACTAAAAGTGGCAAACATCTTAGATATGACTTTAAATCTCCACAAAGGTACATACCTAATGATTAACCACTTTGCATACACACTTCCTCCAATCATCCACCCAGTAGATTATCTGACAAGTTGTTGAATGAAAATAATTTCAATAAAGCAAAAAGCAAGTATGAAATTGCAATAAAGATAATGTTTTTTGCACACACCTAACAGAACAGAAATACAACCATCATATGGTTCAACCCACCATATAATAAAAATATAAAAACAAATACAAGGAAAATTCAAATATAAAATAACACAACAGGAATACACATGACACCCATGTGAACTGCAAAGCAAAACAGGGATGCCCGCTAAATGGCAACTGCCTATAAAACTAATATATGAAGCTATGATAAACAAATCCAACCCCAATGGCTTCTCGAAAACCATTCCTATGCCATCACCATATATATATATATATATATATATATATATATATATATACACACACACACACTACAGGCAAAAATTTTGGGGCCACCCTGCATTTCTTAAAAAATACACCTTAAAATGAGATCTTTTTGTATTTTTTTTAAGTAAAAGATAAAGTTTCCGTAAATAAAGTGTATTTGATTTTATTTTTCAGTCTTTTTACCAAAAACTTCAAATATGGATTCATCTGTCCACAATACATTTTGCAAAATCATGAATATTTTGTATGAGAAACATATTTTGTTTTCACCATTAATCCTCAGTAGATTTTTGAGGTTAGCAAAATTTTTAACTAAGTTAAATGTCAGTATAGGTTGTAAATGTTAACTCAGAACTAACTAATGCTGTAAAGAAAACATGTAGCTGTCTCTGAAGAAAAAAAAGATTTTACCATTATGAGAGTATTTTCATTTTTTTTTTTTTTTTAATTTACTTTTAAATTTTGAAGTAATTTGCACAAAATAGTAAAATAAAAGTAGATAAGCATTGAGGCCTTATTCAAAGATGGCTACTCTCAAAGACAAATTGCCAAGAGGTTGAAGATTTCTAGATCTGGGGTGCAATATTTGTTAGAAAGACAGTTAGAAACTTTGACAAAATTTGAAAGAAAAAATAGCTGGGACATCATAAGTGACATCTGCTGCTGAAGATAAACACTTGATTATTGACAGCAAAAGAAATAGAAGGAAAACTGCTGCAGATTTGACAGCTGAACAATTCCTCATCAACTAGTGTCACTCTCAACTGTATAAAAATTGACTTTGATCAGCGGGTCTCAGTGGGGTACATAAGCCATCAAGAACCCCCTGCTATGGAAGATGAATAAGCAGAAAAAAAGACTCAAAAGGCAAAAAATCATAAGAACTGGGCATTGAAAGAGTGGCAAAGTCTATTGTGGATGAATGTGTTCAAATTTGAACTTAGGAAGAGGAAAGTTGTTATGGTGAAACACACCTATTCTATAGTTAATAGACTCTCCCACCTATAATAAGTAGGAGTAGTAAGAGAAACGAGTCAGAGTTGATGTTGGATGACAGTCGAATACGAAAGTATCAGCGACCACAAGATTACTCTACGTAATACCTATTATATCAAGTTCCAAATACAAGCCTCCACTGCGAAATAACTCCACAACAAAAGTGTAGTTCCAACAGTTAAGCATAATAAATCTTATGGTGTGGGGGAGAGACAACTGGAGATTTGATTCAGGTCACAGGAATCATGAAAAAAGAACAATATCATTTGATTTTGCTATAGCATCTTGTTTATGTATAATTGGGAAAAAATTCACCTTTCAATAAGACAATGATTCAAAACTCTTCCAAATGATGTCAAAATAACTTTTAGGGAAAAAAAAAGGACAAAAATTTTGGAAATTATAACTTGACCACCTTAATATCCTGACCACTCTCCTATTGAATTAGCATAGGATGAATTAGATAGGAGGGTTTGAAAAGAATACCTAAAGAGTGAGAGTGAGCTTTTTTAGTGCTTGAAGAATGTTTAGGAAGGTCTGCCATCTACTTTTTTTTCAATTATTATTTTTTTTAAATATTATTAAATTTTTTGTGAGGTTTTTATTTTATTTTTTACATTTTATTTTTATTGCCATCTGAATTCAAATATTGTAATCTATGTTAGTTGCTTAATGTTTATAAAATGTATAAATGACCAGAGCATTGTCATAAAAATTTCATTTAAAAAAAAGCTAAGATGGAAAGTGAGAAAACTAGTAGAGAAGTCCAAGCTGCCCAAATCAAATATCACAAAATTGGAGACGCTGGCAATCAAAATCCTACAGAGGAATGACATCATCATACTACCAACTGACAAAGGCAATGCAACTGTAATGATAGACAAAAAAGAATATACAAAAAAAACCTGAAAGACCTCATTAGAAACGGTAGCTATAGTAAAGAAAGACTCAACAATGAAAACAGAAAGAAGAAAACCATTAGAGATTCTAATCAAAAACAAGGACCACTTCCCATCTAAGACATACAGGCAGTTGTTATGTCATAGCAAGCTACCTCACATATATGGTCTCTCCAAAATTCACAATGATGGTATTCTGCTTAGGCAAATTGTTAGGAATCATCAAGTCTGTGTGTGCCACCCTCTGAATCTCTTCCTTGTGAATTAAGTTGATTTATTCATAGGAAAACAATCATCATATAACCAAAAATCCAGCCACTTTTTAAAAATAATAAAAAAAAAAAATCCCATTTGACCCAACCAAATAGTGAGCCTGGATATAGTGAGTTTGTTCATCAAAGTACCCACGGAGAAGGCTCTATCAGTAGTCAGGGACAGACCGGCCTTGGACTCATCTCTAGGAGAATGTACCAGTATACCAATAGATAATCTAATAGAGAAGCTGACTTTCTGTACACAAACAACATACTTCGGAATGTGATCAAGCATATCAACAAGATGAAGGCTTGAAGAAGGGTTTGTCATTATCACCAGCAACGGCTAACATATACATTGAATATTTTGAGGCATTAGAATCCACATCACTAAAGCCAACTCTATGGCTGAGATATGTAGATGACACCTTCATACTCTGGCCACACCAGGGAGAGGTTCAGCTACTACTGGACCATATAAATTTAATAAGATCATTGATAGTGTTCATAATTGTTGTGTATGATACACCTAATTTACATAAGTGGAGTACCGACCATATAAATATGGGTTGGTACCGGAAGACGACGGAAGATTAAGAGATCGAATCCAGAGACTCTGCCCGACTGCGACTTAGTCAACCCATTCTGCAGGAACAGTCTTCCCAAGAATATACCAAAACTACCTGTAAATATTGTGTACCTTTTTTCATTGTTTCAATACATTTTGTTACGTACATTTTGTGTTGTATTCTTATTATTCCATGCTTATTCAAGCTTCAACAATAATGGAGAAAGAAAACAACAACTAGCATTCCTGGACAGACTAATATCTCAGACAGAGCATTGGTTCCAGACATCTGTTTACCACAAGTCAATATTCACCAGACAATACCTCAACTTCAACTCTCACCACCCATACAGTGTAAAGAAAGAGATCGTCCGCTGCCTATAACATCAAGCAAAAATCATAAGTGGTGACCCAGGGACATATGAACAAGAAATGGTCAGTATAAGCAGTAGTCTACAATGTAACAACTACATGACAGCAGCACTGACAAACTGGGATAAAAGGGTGCAAATGGATAACGTCACTCAGAAAACAGTCTAAGGGATTATCAAAAAAAAAATACAAAAGATCTGTGGTCTATATAACCTTGAGACAATCTTCAAAAGTGGTTCAACACTTCGCAGACACCTCTTTCAAATAAGCCCCCCGCCCTCCCATAGAGGAGAACATGATTAATAACTGTTTATGCCATCCCATGCAGTTGTGGTAAGAAATATAAAGAAGAAACAGGCCACCCCCCTTAAATCGTAAACATGAGGGGAAATAGAAAAATCAAGTGTGGCTGACCAAAATGGAGGGAAAAAGGAGATCACTGCCCCTGTGGTATGAAGATGAAATAATAGGCAAAAAAAATCACTGGAAAATACAAAAACTTAAGGAGTCAGCACATATGCTAGGCCACAAAACCCTCCTGAGCTAACCAAGCATAGAAATGAATACAATATGGGAACCAGTAATACAGAGTGCAACAGAAAATCAGTAATAACATCAAATTGTAATATAAGCTATGGTAAAAAATATTTACTGAGACATTAGATTTATAAGTCCCCAAAATTCATACACTGATGTCCTCAAAGACACATGGTCCAATGAATAAATGCATTGGTTGAATCCAGTGACTTGAACCAATGAGTTGTGAGTTCAATATCTGGCTACAAAAACTTGGAGGGTTGAGTTAAAAGGGGGATAAACACAGATACTGAGAGAGAGATGAGATGAGATGGGGGAGAAGGATGAGGAGAAGGGCTTCCTAAGTAGGTTAACTAATGAGAAGTGAGGCCCATAGCCTGAAAGAGCCGAGACCCATCTTGAATTCATAGTTTTTCCTTCTAGACTAGTTGCCACCCAAGGAACACAGTCTATCCTGCTATTTACCCATAGCTGGGGAGAGAAGAAAAGGATTCATACCTTTCCCAAGGGTATTAGCATGTAAGTGAATGTAATGGATCTGACTGGAGTTCAAATTCGACTCTCTGATTCCTTAATCTGAGCTGCTATCAATTACTCAACCGTGCCACTGAGACATCTGGAAGAGGCATGGCATGTGGAACTATGAACAATCTACCCTGGTGAATGAAATAGTTTAGTTTGAAATTCCAATTACCTGAAGAAAGCTGGAGTGTACAATGATCGTAAATGTCATGAATATGGCAACAAAGATGAGGACAAAAGTCCAAATGTAAATGAACTTTTTAATTTCCCAGTAAGTTTGCAAATAAGCAACAAACCTGGAAAAGTTCAATTGCTAGAACAAGATAAAGACGGCAGTTTGAATAAATCAAAATAATTATGATTATTATTCCTTATCTCGGAAATTCAGAATCAAATTAAAAATATTTAATTTGACTATTTAAGTTGCAGATTCTTAAGAAAAAGCTTTTTTCTTTCAATTCAATAAGGTAAAAAAATTCATTACTTACCTGCATTTTCAGGTGATAAAATTAAATCTGAAATGTTGATATTTCAAAAATCTATTATATTTTTTTTAAACACTTGTGCAAATCCAAATCTTGCTTAATTTTTTTTTAATTTTCCTTTTTGCAATATTATAAGATTTAATTAGACAAAGATCCAATAGGAAAATTAACTCTTGACTTACCTGAATGGGAGTCTGAGGTTTGACTAATGCAAAGAACAAAAACAATTATAAGGAAAAAATTGTAATTCATGGCGACTGCTTTAATCATTACTTAATAAAGTGAGGTTTATATTTTGTTTTTTATTTGGAGATGCATGTGTGCTGTTGGTCAGTTGCTTATTTATTTTAGCCCTGACCTCTTTAGTCACAGCCAACCACATCTGCTGCTGTTCTCACTTGCTTATCTTAAAACAAGATGAGATTTTTGATAAAAACGACTTTGATAGATGTTGCTTTCTTACATTTCATTCTGTTTACTTGGGTAAAAACCTTTCAAATATGAACTTTTTGATAAAATATCTTCTACTTATTAATTGGGATTATTATCCAAATTAATATGTAGAAAATATTATGGATTATGACAATATAGACGTGCCTACAATTAGCAAACTAGTTTTACAGACTAAATTACTAGTATAATGTTTGATTATAGCAAGCACTCCACTGGTGTGGTCTTGTGCCAGACTAAATTCTGCTTAGAAATAATTATGGAATTTTACTGTCAACAGTAATCAACAATAATAAGATTCACTGATATGGGTAATTCTTTTTGAAGGCAACTGTAATTCGTTCAGCTTTGATGACTGTTTCCTATCTACAAAGTAAATTTGGATGCTTTTTGAAGGTGGGGAAAGTGTGTCATATTCGTTGGCATTATTTGTGATAACATTTTTTTTATTCTCAATTAGAAAATCTAAAAGAAGAATTGTATCACTTTATTTAGATTGTCTGAACTTGACACTTGAATGGAATTGCCATGTTTGCTGGTAGGAAACAACTTATTTGACAAAATACATTCATTTTCATGGATGACTTATTGCTTCACAGATTTCCATACTGGCATATAAAGTTTATTTAAATGTGGAAACATAGCACATACGATCTCCTAATTAAAAACCTACAAGAAATGTCTCTCTTGCTTGCTTTTCTTTTTTTTCTTCTAGATTTGATAAAACTATACAAAAATCTCTTTAAGGTAAGAAATATTCATTGATCTGAAACACAATTTTCTTGTATCATTTTTGTAATCATCCATTTTCTTTAGTTAAAAGGAGAAAAAAAAAAAAACAGATTCCCACACATAGTGGGTGTATGGAGGAGGCATTATTCTCTGTCTGAGACATTAAATATTTTATATTTAAAAGAATTCATATATAAAACTGAGGGAAATTTTGGAATCCTTTTTTTGTGTAACAGAAAAAAAAGCCATCAAAAGTGAATGTGTGAATTTATTTATCTTTTATTCCTTAGTCAAAACAAGAAAATAAATCCTGAGAAAAATTGGGGTAGACAATGAGAATGCTGCACATAGATGTATAAAAAGCATTTATGACTTAAATTATATGAATGCAAGAGAAAATCAGGTATATCTTATATGCTTCCTCCACTATCAATAGAGTGTTTCATGCTTGTTTAGAAAAGATGTTCTGTCTGGTCAGAATGAAATAAGTGACTCAGCAAATTTCATATTGATGGGCAGAGGTCATTTCCAAGCCCAGAGGTCATTTCCAAGCCCAGAGGTCATTTCCAAGCCCAGAAATCAATTTTACAATTGAAGTTAGTTTTACTGTTATTCTTCTTGGTTGGATTTTATGGTTTTATTTGCTGTCAGCTTAAGAGAATCAGACAAGCAAAAAATAAATTAATTAAAAAAAAAAATCAGTGTGTAACAGATCTTTGTACTTGCAAAATATTTGCACATATTTCACTAAAAGGAAACATATCTGATTTTTAAAAAACAATTTCACTCCAAGCAATAAAGCCACAGAGACAATAGAGTGAAAAAGGATAAAATAAAAAGATTCAAGGAGACAAAAGATGAATGACATTGCATTTAAATTTTTGGAGATTGTAGTTAGGAAAACAATATGCTGGAAGAGAGTTCCACAGGTGAGAAGTGTGAGAAACTATTAGAATGGCAAAATGATGGAATCTAATTTCCAAAATAGACAAAGCAAATAATACATTTTGATCTTTACTAGACAAGGAATTTTTTAACATCCACCAACACTATTTTGACTTTAGAGAAAAATCTTCTCTTTAAATTTAATAGTAATTCTCGAGAAATCCTGGTTACCATCATTAAGCAATGGTTAGCAATTTCCTGAGATCTAATATCAGTATAGCAAGTTCTATCCTCAAATTAATTTTGGTTTTTCTATAATAATAGATGCTTTTTTTTTAATATTAAATTCAAATATTCTAATTTCATTTAAAATTTCTGGCATTATTTTAATAGCCTTTTTGAGGACTGAATATAACATTTAATGTGTTGTATATCCATCTTTTGTAAAAAAAAAAAAAAAAATCCTGTTGTGTAACGATGACTGTTTTATTGTTTGCTATTTTCAAGGTCACCATTGTCAAAATTTTTATTACACGCTAAAAAGTTTATTTGTGATTGAAATGACAAAAAAATCAAATTAAATCATCATATGAAATTAGTTTCTCTTAAATTTGTAATTTAAATTGAAAATTTTCAGCTAATTTAAAGATGGACGACAAAAACAAAAAATAACAAAAACTGGGAAGTTGGAAGAACAGAATAAAAAAAAAAAAAAAAAAAAAAACAAAACAAAAAACAAAACAAAAGGAAAATATCAAATTTCTTCAAAAAAAGAAAAAAAATTTAATTCAAAAACATAAACAATTTTTTTTATAAAAAATATTACAATTTAAAATCCTGATTATAGAAAGTATAAATACATGCATGTTTGTGCATATATATATATATATATATATATATATATATATATATACATATATATTAGTGCATAGCTATATGCATATAAATGTTATATATATATATATATATATATATATATATATATATTATGTGTGTATCATAAATGCTTGTAAATATATATTATAAAATTCACATGTTTATGTGTATATAAAACAGGCCTTGATAGTATCAGAATTAGAAATAATAATAAAAAAATTACAGTTTAGGTCTGTTTATTTTTTTTAAAAAACCCTAAAGCTTAATGGCTAAAAAAGGAGGCGAGAAAATACTTTGGTCAATAATCAAGTTGGGGGAAGTGCAAGGTGAAAAAGAAAAAAAAATCTAGAGGAATAGATATTGATTTTATTTAAATGATATCATTTTTATCATGTAGCTAATTTAGGGACCACAGAAAAATGAATACAATTCACACATGACTATAATGTGCTTAAAGACACATTCTTTAACTTCAGACCAAAATAGTAGGAACACTCATTTAAAACAATAATATAAGCATAAGTTTTCCTCAATGTGAGAAAAGTTCAAGTGTCCATTAAAATTCTTTTTTTTCTAACTCAAACTGCCGTTCATTTGTTCAATTGTCAAAATGCTATATTCTATCATTTTTATCAAAGCAGACATTATCATGTTTTCTTCATGAGTAAAAAATCAAAGTTAAAAAATGTTTCTTGGCGCTTTTGAAGCATTATTACAGGTGAAAAAAAATTACTAATGAAAAAGATTCCACTCTAAAAGTTGAAACTGTAAAGTAAAATTTCATAAGTTGCAATGTTTAAGTCAGTTACTGAAATTGGCCAGATATCAATATGTGACTTAATTTTGCCAATAAAGAAAAAGGTTATAAAGAAAAAAAGTAATTTTAAATGAAAAGCAGTTTATAAACTAATTTACTTATCTGAGAGTTTTACATCAATCAAAGATTAAATGATTTGAGAAATTGCAACCATAAAAAAGAAATTTACAAAATTTATAACAAATCGTAAAAATTTTCCAGCTTCAACAAAGAAAAATACATTTCCATCATTTTTAGGTTTTTATTGAAACAATCAAAAGCCAATTTGAGCCTTAATCTTTATGTTTAAATATTCGAAAGAGAATGATGTTTTGAAGAAGCGATATAAACCTTGCTGAAAAACAAATAAAAAGCTGGAATGCAGTTTGAAATAGTCGAATTGAAACAGTGCCATGTTGCAGGAAACACAAATGTTAGATTGGGTGGAGTTTTTTTAAACATTGATTTCCTTTTCTTTTTTCTTTTTTTTTATAAAAACTGGAAAATGTATTTTTTATTGTTATTCTAAAACTGTCCAGAATTAAATGTTAATGAAACTTGTTTTTTTAAGGACAGAGTTGCAATACCAAAAACAATATAAAACAAAGAAAAAGAATTTCACATTTGGAGTGTCATGCACCAATTTGTTGTTCTCTAGCAAAAGACAGACAAAAACTTTTCCACAGTATAAATCTATTTCCAAAGTTTATCGGTCTTCAAGAGTTGTAAACTCTGAAATGAAAAAGTACAACACATTTTTCATGAGTTTTGGGAGGTAAGCCGACTTTTCTTTGCATGTGTTGTCAGATTTACAAGTTGGCAGACATTTATATTTAGTGAGGATGTCACTTCTTGGATTATAGCATTCTTTTGCAGATGGCAATGTCTTAAAACAGTGCAACATCACATCAAACACACTTGGTAGGACAACAGTGGGGTGAATGAGTTTGTACTTAGACACAGCATGTTTGTAAAGGTGGGCAGAGCTCAAGAGGTAATCACTGGTCACCGTGAGAAAACGAGAATAGTCTGGATTGTCGCTATAAATCTGTCTGTTCATGCTGACCACGCCAAATGTACAGATACCTTCTTTTAGAAATGTAATATAGTAAAGAAGATGAGTTGCTGCCAAGTGAAGTCGAGCATGACGATCAGCATCGTCAGAACCGTACTGAGCTTCCGAAATGATTTGATTGATCCTCCTGTGGCCAATTGACGTTACATATAAACCAACAATAGTACGGAGAGACACTCGGTGAATCAGAACAGGAGTTGGCAAGACAGTGAACCAATTTTGGCCATTTGGTTGTAATTTCCCTGACAAAATTTGCGGATAGTTGGACTCTGGATCTACTCTATTGCTTTTGCGATTAAGAATCCCTTCAAGAAAGGATTTAGGATTGTTCTCATCACCAGATCGGCGCTTCCGACCAACTGCCGGTACATTCAAATAATTGGATTTCAGTGACCATTTTGGATCTGGTTTGTGAAAGGATTTCTTTAAATTCTGACCCTTAACCAATAAACTCAGCAGGAACACAATGGCCACAAGTACCAAAAATCTAATAATCATTCTGTTAACAGTTTCTGAAATTAAAAAGAAAAAATTTTATGTTACAAAAAATTGCAAACAATAATAAAAATACAATTATTCAATTAAATTAAGATTTTCCAAAATTAAAATTTAATTAAAAAGAATAAATTCCCAAATAATTTCAACAACAGAATTCTTGAAACTGGCAAAGATTTTGAGGAAAGTCCTGGAATTTTTGAGATTTAATGTCACTTGATCCTCAGAAAAAATGTTGTGACTAAAATGAAAATTTATTTATTAAACCAGTGGATAAATGTTTTATAAAATATAGTTTGTAGTTATAAATGAAAAATATATTAACCTGGCCTGAAGATCCCTGATTCTATAGTGAAATTTGAGTTGGTAAGATTATATATATATATATATATATATATATATATATATATACACACACACACACACACACAAATTAAAGGTATTTATTCATAAAATTAATACTTTTTTCTTTCCTAAGACATAAACAACTCTTTGAACTAAGTTGAAGGCAAAAAAAAAAATTATTTCAAACCCCCAAGAAATATTTACTGATGATGTCAGAAATTTCAAGAGCAAAAAGAATTTACAAGTATAATCCAAAACCAATTTTATTAAATTATTCTATTCATAGGTGAGATGAAGGGATATTCATGATGTCATAAGTGGTACTTGTAAAACCTTTTTTCCAATTTCTCACTTTTCAAAATATGAATATTTGCTCTTTATAACTCTCAAAATAATTTTCTCAAAATTGTGCAACACGCATGTGTGTGTGTATATATATATATATAGAGAGAGAGAGAGAGAGAGAGAGAGAGAGATCATATGGTGCATATATGTCTACATATCACTTCTCAGGGAAAGAATTTGATTTTTTTATAAATGTACAGAGAGAACAAAATCAAGTTTCATTTATTTTTATTTTTATTTTGGGAAGGAAAAAAAATAATTTAGTTGAATCCATTAAAATTATCCAAATCTCATTGGCAATTCAGAAATAAAAACAAACTTGAAGAAGAAATCATTAAAAACTGATTGACCTTTTTTAATTTAATTTTCAATGGAACCCCACAAAAAAGAAAAGGAAACTTTTTATTAAAAAAAAATTAAAAATACCGAATCAGTTGATAAAAACTCAGCTTCATTTTGTCCGTTCTGATAAAACATTCATAACATTCATAATGAATTTCAAGTTTTACTTGGTTTCAAGAAAAATATTCTAACATTTGTCAAAACAATTGGGTACTCAATGAAGATTAAAGTTTAAAGCAATATCTTGAAAAACTTATTTATTAATAACTAGCAGCATGACCCGGCATTGCCCGTTCTTGATTCAAAAATCGTACGACTCATACAGCAATCGCTATCACTTGACTTAAAATATTTTTGCCCTTCCTTGCCTTTAAAGGAGTGCCCTTTGCCGTGCTGATGTTGCTACATGCCTTACTTCTTGCCTATCTCACACTGCAAATTTTTTCTTAGCTCTCTACTAAACATTAAATCTGTTATGAAAAAAGAAGTAAACAAAATGAACACAAAATGATCAGCTTTAAAATAGGACTCATAACTGGAAAAACCGAATGAAAAAGAATGTTAACAACAAATACTTTTTCACACCCAACCCAGTTCTGCGGAATCAGAATCAACGTTGAGTTTAAGCAAGTGAATGAGCCAATTGGAGTAAAGTACCATGCAGATTTAAATTTTTCCCACTTGTGACGAATGCAGCTATCGATTTTTTTGCATGCTAGCATGCTAGTTAACATTCTTGTCAGTCAGGTGTTGGCTCTCATGCTGGCCAATAGAATCTTTTTTCCTATTTGTGGCAGCCAGCTATAGGCTCTCACTCTGGCCAAACTACATGAAAACTGCTGTAGAAGCATGAAAAAATTGATTATTTTCACTATTGATGGGAGTTGGGAAATGCAAAGTCAGTCTTGGCCTTCCCGCTAACTTGGAGCATGTGCATGTAAATTTTGGTGCAAATCCATCGAAAATTGCAGCCATGCATTTGTTATACACACACACATTCTGCCTTTTATAGATAGAGATTATTCTATAACAAGTTCCCATATTTAAATGTTTGAAAGATTGAAAATATTAATTTTTATTTTTTACTGACAAAAATATTTGAAAAGTAGGAGGAAATTTTTCTGCCTAATTCTACTATGACTGAATTTTTGCTTCAAATTTGTTTAATGTAAAGTGAAATTTATAAAGGACAAGCATCCAAAATATCAATTTAATGTTCACAAAAAATCAGAAATAGGATTTGAATAAATGAATTAATAATGATGATGATGGCTAAAGAAAATGCTTTATATTAGATTCTCAACAGAAAACAGAAATTATCAGCCATGGACCAAATCTGAAAAGAAAATGGTTTCCAACCAAAAGGGAAAACTTATGATATAAAAAGAGAAAATTTTTAAATTTCACTCTTTTCGAAATATTCTATTGGCAGTATGGACATGCACGCACACACACACACACACAAATAATCAGTGAAACAAAGTATAATTGCAATGTTGCATATTCCCTATCAGATATATACACTGATACAAAGAAGAAGATTACACACACACTCACACAAATAAAAATGTTATACACAAGTATATGTGTACATAGAAAACTATACATGCTGCACATACAGACTTTATCCTCTGCCTATAAGACTGAGTCAAGTGTATTAGTCGACACACACACAAATACAAACTCCATGAAGATAGAAAGAAATGTAATCCCCATTATCTTTCTTAATTACAAAATGGCCATGTGAACAGTTTTGTGTTCAGTTTAAAAAAAAAACCCCTAAAAACAGGGGAGATGAAATTAATGGAATCTTGAAGGAAAAAGAGAGGCGGTTAATTTAAGGTTGACATCATAGCACGGCTGGTGGCCAAAGAAGAGAGTGTGTCTATCCATAAGATGGAGGCACTTGTACAGGTCACAAGTGCATCATAAGATCAAAAGAGTCATGAAGCTTCACTGAACATGGTTGTGGCAATCAGTGCAAAATTAGAACAAGAATGGAAATCTGTTGATGAGTCTGCCATCTGTTTTTGTTTATTTTCTTACACAGCTAAGTACAAATTCATTTGCGTTCAGAAGCCCTTGGGAGATTTTTAGGCCAATCCACATCTGTTTTAACTGTGAAAAGCAATTTGGATTTTGGTATTTCTCTTTCCATCAATAGTTCAGAATTCAGATGAGTATTAAATGGGTGGAAACTATCTTTATTATGGAATCTATATTTATTAATAGTTACAATACTTCTTGGTACTATTTCTTTATTGAAACAAAAATTTGGCACATTAATTTCATCACAGTTAATGCCATCTTTAAATTTTTAATAAAATATAAGTAAATAAAAAGCTGTGAAATTTTGCTTTGGTGCAAAGTAATCAGTGGACAAAGCAAAACAATGTTTTTTAAATATTGAAAAAATCCTGCAGAAATTAAGAATTTTGCTTTGAATGCAAGTCTTCTGTGATTTAACAAAAACCTTAAAAATTTGTATTTGAAGCATTGTCAGCAAAAGGTACTTTCTAAGAAATATTTAGATTCTGGTGGAGAGAAATAGATTCTAAGATCTGTTTTTATTAAAAAACTGGAAACTGAGATCTTGTAAACTTACAAAGATTAGTATCTACCTATATTTCTGAGATGAGGTATTATGTACACTATTTACATTATTCGGACTATTGTCTTCATCTTTGTTGCCATATTTATCATGTTTTGGCCGTTGTTGGTTCCAACCACCTGAAGAAGGCTGTAGTGTACAACAGCTGAAACGTTGTGATAAATAGGGCAACAAAGATGAGGACAATAGTCTGAATAATGTAAATAGTGTACAAAGATTATATTGAATTTTGACCAAAATCCATACTGACAGCAAAATCCCTGCTTCATCATATCAAAGAGTTTGATGAAGAAAATATATAAGTTAGACACCATCAAATTTAAATGTTACTTTAACAGAATAAATTAAAAATGATTAGAGAACAAAAAATAAATTCCTATTCTATAGAGCTTAAGTAATTTTCATTATAATTTTAAGACTCAAAATTAAACAAATATAATTACCCCATTCATAGGCAAACACCTGTACAAGTCGATATATAAAATGTTCTGAAGTGGCTTCCAATTTAAAGAATTGTTTCTACTCAGTTGTGAGATTTAAATTTCTTAGGAACAGGTTCTGTCTAACATTTTTTTTACATCCCAAATATTTTTGTCAATGGAAATAAATCAGGTAAATAAATAAATTCTAAAAAATTTTGCAATTTTAGTAAAAATGGTTCATACAAACGACCTTCACTGATTCTACTTCAACTTGCAATTTGGTCTGATGGAAAAGACAATAGTCACATGGTTGGCTGAAAAAAAAAAACATTCATTCTGATTTACCAGTCACATTGTCAATCAGGAAAAAACATACAATTGTGTTAAAGGCCAAAAACTAGAAACAAGTATGGTGTGATAGTTAACAAGCTATAATATTTGCTAGTACAGTGAGTACAATCCTCCTGGAGTGCCTTGCCCTTATTGCTTTGTGTTAAACTAAGCTAATCCTAATTTAATAGCAGTTGATCTGAAGGAAGGCAACAGGTATATCCTCAAATGGGGTTACTGGGGATATGCTAATTCACGCTAAAGACTAAAAATGATTTCTCTGTAATTGCTAATATTTAATATTATTTTGGAGGCACTGTGGAATAATGGATTGCAGTTATGATTGAGGAATAAGAGAGGCGACTTCAAATTCCAGTCGTGTTCATTACATTCATTTATATGCTAATACCCTTGGGAAAGGTATGAATCTCTCTCTTCTCCCTCCAGCTATGGGTAAAATAGCAGGACAGACTGGGTTCTATAGCCTTGGGTGGCAACCAGTCTAAGAGAAGAAAAACTCTGAATTCAAAACTGTATGTAGGCCTGGTGAAGCACATACTATGCAGCTAAGGAAAAGATCATTTGTATCAACTTGAAGGTCCCGACTACAGTTAATTCCTTT